AGCGTAAAGGTTTAAATTTGCAAACAAACTTTCTAGAAAACATATTGAATTTTATTGCCACAAAATAAATGTCAAAATAGCTGGCCAAACCGTTAGCAGCTCAGTGGCTGATGCAATTGAATTTTTAATGATACCGTAACATCCATCTTTCTTAGGAGCAAATAGTACAATCCATTTTATAAAAGTTATTGATAAATTGTTTGACATGCTCAACTCCAGAAATCCAAATGGTAAGCACTTTAAGAAACCTCTAAATCTAAATAATCAGCTTTATTGGAAAGATTTTTTAAACACTACGATTACTTATCTGAGCAAGTTGACTGATATTAAGGGCATTCCATTGCTTTTACATCGAAGAGAGACATTTGCTTTAGGTTTAATTGTAGATACTAAAAGCACTCTAAAATTATCCACCGATCTTTTAACACTTTATGAGAAACCATTTAAGTATGTTCTAACTTACAAATATTCCCAAGATCATCTTGAACTACTATTTGCTTGCATTTGTGTAAAAAACGGTTACAACAACAATTACTGATGTAGTGTAGTTAAAATCATCGTTAAAACGGATTCTTCTGTGAAACTCCATAGTTAAATTGACTCATGCTAACTGCATAATGTTTGAGCATGGCCTACTTTATAGAAGGCCTCGACACCGTGCGGGAATTTTTTTGACTGAAGGCCGATTTAAAACTGTTACAAACGCATTTTTTGGTTGGAAAAGGAGTAAAATATTAGTTACGTTTTTTCAGAAAAATTTACAGCTATTCTTCAAGTAAATTTAATTTAAATTATTTAGAATGCCTTTAAAATGTTGTGTTCCAAACTGTTCCTCAAATTATAAGTCTTCAGCTTGTAATGTGTCTGTGTATAAATTCCCTCGTGAAGTATGTGAAAAAACTAAATGGTTTATGAGCATCCCTCGTTTAAATTGGACCGTAACAAAATACACCGTTGTTTGTAAATTGCATTGGCCAGATGATGCAGAGTTTATATTATGTCGTGGTAAATTGAGACCGATTCATCCTCCATCAGTGTTTCCAAATATATCTAAAAGTTGTCTATCCTCTCCACCACCTAAAACGAGAAAGACTTTATCTTCTTCTTCAAAAAAAGGTATCAGAAAAGATGAATTAAAAGAATATAAAACAATTGATAATTTAAATTTTGAAGAAATTGAAAAACACTTATCAACTTATAATGATTTGATTTCATACAAGCAAAATAATTCAATTTTTATCCAATCTAAAATATTTAATTGTGGTGTTCCACTATTTTTGCTAATAATTAATCAAAGTTTGTAGTTTGAAGCATTTCATTTTGGTTCAAAATGTAATATTAAATCTCTGGCAAATAACAGAATCACTTCCCTTTGTACAAAGTCATCTTTAAATGAAGCTCTTAGATATCTGAAAGTTGAAGATAAGGATCATAAAACTCAAGTAATGTTTGAGCATTTAAATGTAATGGGAGATCATACTGTTGGCTGTGCTGTGTATTCTCCAGATATAATAACCAGAGCTTTTGAATATTTTGCAACAAGTCGTTCCACTTACCATCGATTATGTTATGATTATCAGTTGCCAAGTATTCGAACTTTGACACGCATAACTTCAAAAATAAACTCTCAAGATAATTTAACTTTTTTAAGTTCTGTGTTATCGAACCTTGATGAAAAAAAAAGAAATTGTGTTTTATTGATAGATGAAGTTTATGTAAAAGCAGCATTATTATATCAAAGTGGAAGTATTTTTGGAAAAGCTGTAAATAATCCAGAGAAATTAGCTACTACTGTACTTTTATTCATGGTAAAAAGCCTTTATGGTGGACTTGAATTTCTAGCAAGAGTTTTACCAGTTAGTAATCTGACATCAGATTTCCAACAAGAACAGTGCAAACTAATTGTAGACACCATAGAAAGTTCTATGAGTAATGGTAAAGTTATTGCAATTATTACAGATGGAAATAAAGTTAATCTAAGCTTTTTTTCTAAATTCAAAACCGTAGACGGAAAACCTTGGTTATGTCAAAAAGGCTCATATTTTATATGACTATGTCCATCTTTTAAAGTGCATAAGAAATAATTGGCTGACAGAAAAACTAGGTCAGTTACAGTTTACTCAAAATGAGATAACTTACATTGCAAATTGGAGAGATTTAGTTAACTTAAATACACTTGAAAAAAACCAATTAATAAAGTTATCCAGATTGACTGAAACATCAATAAATCCTAAACCAATAGAACGGCAAAAAGTAAGCATTTTTTTACAAGTATTTAGTGAAGAGACAGTTGCAGCTCTAAAAACTCATCCTAAAATAGACCAAGAAAGTGTCAAGGGTACTATTATTTTTTTGGAGTTGATTATAGAATTTTGGAAAATAGTGAATGTTAAATGCCCAGGTGCCAATGCTAGATTTAGGGATGAGTCACGTAATGTAATCAGATCTTCAGATGACATTAATTTAAAAAAGTTACTTGCTATTGCAACAATGGCAGAATATATGAAACCAACATCTGGTAAACGAATTCGTCAGCTTACGAGAGATACAAGCAATGCACTTTCTCACACTTGTCGTGGACTAATTGATTTGTCTTGTCATCTTTTATCAAGAGGAAATGAGTATGTTATTTTAGGTTGGTTTTCTAGTGATCCAATTGAGAAATGTTTCGGAAAACTACGGCAAGGTTCTGGTGGTACGTACTTTATAACTGCTAAATCAGTTATCGAAAAAAGTACGTATTCAACATGCTAAGCTGGTGCTACAGCTGAATATCGAAGTAGAAGGAAATGATGGCCATGACTGTCTTTTATGTCTTAAAGATTTAGATGATATGGAGATTGATATAATTTACAATTTACCAGATCTAGAAGATAGTATAAATATAGAAATTTTTTATGCTATTGTCTATATTGCTGGTTATGTTCAAAAGTGTTCTACTGAAGAAATTGGTAAAGATACAACTACATATTATGAAAAATATGGAACTTATTTGAATACTTCAAATAGGGAAGGAATAACTATTCCATCTGATATTCTATCTCAGTGGTCTTTATTTTGTTACATATTTTTTTCTTTATTAGATAAAAAAGTTTGCAGAACATTTCTGATACGACAGTTTGTTTTTATTGCAGAGTTGTATAGTTTTTCTAATGCAAAGAAACAATGCCAAACACTAGCAAACATTTTTTTAAAGAACTTTGCATTACTTCACACTCCCAAAAGTAATAAAGAAGCAAAACTAAAAGAAATCAAGCTTATGTAATTTTTTTTTGGGAAGATTTAGTACAAAAAAAATTAGATTTGTTATTGGTGTATTTTTTTGATTATTTAATATTTCTTGTATATTCAAAAATTTGATTTAAATGTTTCTATTCAACTTTACAAACTATTTTAGCTTATAAAATAGTTGTGAAATTAACGTCAAGAAACTCATTTTATAAAAATGCATTCAAAATTTTTTCAAATAGAATAATTAGTTATTAAATAATTAGTGTTAGCAAAGCTGTACAGCATTTTTTTCTTTTAATAAACCGCCATTTTATTTTTAAATCGGCCTTCAGTCAAAAAAATTCCCGCACGGTGTCGAGGCCTTCTATAAAGTAGGCCATGTGTTTGAGCCATATTCTAATGGCTCAATTTTTTCTCTTAATTGGAAAAAAAGGTTGTGTTGTGTTGAAAATTTTGACCAAAAAGATATTGACTTTGACGAAGTTTTTTTGTATTGCGATGAACTTCAAATGTCTAGCTACAAAGAAGCAATATTGGGATATATCTCTGGTTTTATAGTCAGAAAGTTGATAAATACTATTTCATGTAAAGTCTGCGCTTAATCATTAACTGATATTTTATCGTATGAACATTCCTATGCGAAATCTCATTCTTCAATAAATAATGTAAAAGATCGTGGTGGTTTGCTTTTGCCATCAAGCGATGTTGTTTCTATTGTCGAGTCGTGTGAGAAAGTATTTAACTTCTTTATTAGTGGTAAAGATTTTAAAAATCCGAAAATAACCTCAGATAAAAATATAAAGCATACGATGATTCATTGTGTTAACAAATTAATTATTAAAAAAAAAGTCTTTAAAGGACTTGATAGTCACGACACAGAATTGTGGACTGAAAATGAAGATTTGCACTCTAGCCAGTTTTTTAGAAAGATATGTGAATATTACTTTAGAATTCGAATGTTCAGATATGCCCAGGATTATACCAGCTAGTTCTAAGAAAGTCGTCAATTGGTTTAAAAAACAAACAAATAAATTAATATTGTTCCAGGGTTTATGAATATTTCATTTTATTGTATAAAACTTCTATTAAAACAATAAACTATATTATACGATGTTTTAGTTTGATGTTCTAAATGCAAATATGTTTTTAAATATATTTTTTTGTTGCTATAAAAATAGCCGCTTGTTTTAGTTTGTTATAACATATTTAACATGCTAATATTAGCATGTCCAATCTTCGACCAACAAATATGTATGTATTAACTGTATGCTAACTAAATTGATCGTCTGTGATTCTAATCATCTTTAATTCCGAAAATAAGGACGTTAAAATTGCCAATATCATCGCTAAAAGCTTTTTGCCTGAGATAATAATGACTTCCAACGCATTGAATTGGCTTCACTAAAAACGGCGAAGTTAGATATCTAGTTATTTCTTTACATCATTGTCTTTAAGTGATTATTTAAAAAAAAAACAAGAAGCCGTAAAGCTCACCTGAAACAGCCATGGTGGATACGGTCATTGAACTGCAATTACTTTAATTTTTTTTGTTTTGGTGGTTTTTGTTTAAGACTAGATTTGTAAAGATTTAAACTTTGCGTTTAATTATCTCATAACAACATATTTATTGTAGAGGCTGGTTTGGTGCTAATTCATCCAATTAATAAAAACTTATACATAATGTAAGTTAATTATTTCTTGCATTGTAAAATTACAATAATTCCTTTTTTTAATGAATTTAGTTTTGAAATTCTCTTATTTAGCACAAAAGAATAATCTTAACTATGCATATAAAGTGACATCCAAAAGTACAAATGCATATAAAGTGACATCCAAAAGTACAAATGCATATAAAGTGACATCCAAAAGAAGATATTTTCAAAATGGCAAATATTAGCTTTTATACCCAGCAAGCACATAACTTTATTTAAACGTTGCGAGTTGGCTTATGTATGGTTAAAAGATAACAATCTAAATTTCAAGGTTATTATAACGTAAGTTCAACGTTAAAAAACAAAACGTTGAAAAATTCAACGTGTATTTTAAACTACTTTTCATAATTAAAAAAAATAGTTTAAAATAAACGTTAAAATTTTCAACTTTTTTTTTTAACGTTGAACTTGCGTAAGTTAAATAGTTTAGATAATAATTATATAATAATTTTGATAGTTAAATACATGGTTTCATGTAGAAAATAAAAGTGCCGGAACGGTCAAATAATATATATATATATATATATATATATATATATATATATATATATATATATATATATATATATATATATATATATATATATATATATATATATATATATATATATATATATATAAATATATATATATATATATATATATATATATATATATATATATATATATATATATATATATATATAAATATATATATATATAGTAAAAAAAGATTATAGTATATACAGTAAAAAAAAGTACCAAAACGGCGTTCCGGCTTTATGACATCACTGGTTAAATAGTTTTTAGATTTAGTTAAAATGACGTTGAACTTTTTAACGTTTATTTTTATAAACGTTGAAAATTTTGATGTCATTTTAACGTTCTTTGTAGTTTTTTTTAACCGTCGCAAATGAATAAAAGTTTCCCGATATATTTATGTACTAATGGATTTATTCTATTTCGTGACGTTAAAATTCGCGGTCGTCATACTGTATGGCAAATAAAGTAAACAAAGTAAGCGTTTATTATAATAACGTATTTAAGTACAATTATTAAGAATAGCATACCTTGTAGTAGATAGATTTTTAAAGACTATTTTTGAATAAATTTTTGTAGAATTTAATTCTCTATCTCACAGTATAAGTAATTTATAAAACTCTATTAAATAACTTGTTTTCAAAGGTGTATATATAAACAAGAATTTTCAATGCTTTGAAGTACTTTATATACAGTTTACTTATTCGAGCATTACTAACAATTTATAAGTAATGTGCGAATAAGTAAGCTGTAAATAAAGTACTTCAAAGCATTCAAAAATAGAATATTTTTAACGTCTTCCTTTAAGTATCAACAAATAAGATTTTTTTTTTTCAAATATTTTTGTTAACTCGCTAACATACATAATTTAGACACAGTGAACACTGTGTCTAAATTATGTATGTTAGCATTTGGTTGTTTAAGCATGTTAAATATCTTATTAAATTGTATCAATACTTTACAATGCTACGTATATAAATAATATGCTGAACTACTTATTAAATTGCTTTAGTATATAAAAAGTATTTAATAATAATTTTTAAAAGTGATAATTGGTAACAAGTGAAACCGCAAACTTAGAAGAATGTGTCATTTTAGAGGCATTCAACACTCGTGCTAAAGACCTAAGCAAGTTGAAGAGGATCCAAATGATTATAATTTTATTATAAACTTCAAATTTTCGAAACTATATGTGTATCTTTTTGCTGTCATGTCAAGAATGTTTTTTATAAAACAGACTTTTATTGACAAATTAACTTATCATATGGGAGTTGCTCATAAGTTAAACTTTAAATTCAAAAACTTGCTTAAAAAAAGTGTTTTTAATTAACCGATCATCAAAAACTGCTGCAAATAAAAGTATTCATATTTGATGAAATTGATTGAAAGATTTGCATTAACTTTAAGAGAAGTACCAAGAGGACACGAATCAAATTGTAAATTTTTTTGAAGTAAGTTGTAATATTTCATGGACTTTCGGTATTGCAGGCCATGCATAGTGTGCCAGAATATAACAAAAATTACCAAAAATAGAAAACGTTTAAATATAATCATATTATACATGTAATCATATGTTTTTGGGGTCAGAGAATCCATTTCTGACATCAAAGTAAGTTTTGACTACTCTAAACTAAACTTGGGAACGAAAATACCCCAAAAAGATATTCCTTCTACTCCAAAAGTGAGGGCAATGTATTAATGATTTGATTTTTGTTACAACTTTATACTAAATTTAACTAAATTAGCAGGTTTAAATTTCACGGAATTATCTTTCAGAGATAAAAAGTTACAACCATATAAAATTTACAACCCCACTCTCTTCTTTCACTTTGGGGAGGGTTAAAACTTATTTAATCATAACTTTTAAAATCAAAAATATTGTATTTTACTAAATTTGATATTATTAAATATCAAATTAAGTAAAATTTATTCATTAACTCATTGCCCTTACTGTTGGGGTGAAAGGGAATAACATTTTGAGGTATTTTTGCTGCCAGGCTCCAGTCACATTAGCATAAATATACTTAAGTTTAGAGTTTTCACAACGTTTGAAAATATCAAACCTTTTAAAACAAATAAATTTAATTTGCAAAATTGTAAATATATTGTTTTTAAAGGGTCAAAAACATTTAATTAGCAACCCGTATAAAAAATAAAAATGTTTTGCATTGTGAAATCATATAAACAAAACAAGTTCATACAAGTTACAAGTTTTCTACGAGTAAAAGTTTAACTTCTTCGGGAAGAAGCAACTCCATTTTTTTCTGCTTTGCAGCAAGCTGATCACTAGATCAGAGCTACACAGAAGTCTTCTCATTAAATCCAGGATTTTTTTTTTTTTAGAAACTTTAATTGTAAAAAATTCTCTGAAGTTTTTTACATCTTTGATTTTTTTTTCTTGGGCTTCTTCAGAAAGCATACCAATAGGTAAGTTTTTGTTGCGAACAACCTGGGGTCAATGTTATAAAACTTTTTATCGACGTAAATGCTAACGGCGGAAGTTTTACTCAAGGAATTTTTACAGCCGTAAATTATTTCGTAAAATATTTTTCAATTCAATGTTATAAAACTTTTCCGCATCAATTTTTGCTGATTTCTATGCTCTGAATATATTTTTTGTAATCTATTGTCCGAATCAATAATATTCTTTAGACATAAAACTCAGAGTGTTTTAGAATTGAATTTTCTAAAACATCATAGTTAACAAACTGAAGTTTTAAATCCAGTTTTTCTCATGAACTTGGACTGTTCCGATTGAAGAATATTTTGTTGCTTTAGAATATTTGGCAAATCAGAGACAACCACGAAAAGTAAAACTGTTTAAATAATATTTAAACTGTTAAGAATACAATTTAAAAGTAAAAAGATTTAATTAATGTCATTAATTTTTTACCCTACCCTATAAAAAAAATTTGTATAGTTTTTCAATAAAAATAACTTTTATTATTTGCTATAGGCATTTTGAAACAAATGGCCTGTATAAATAGAGGTTTATTTAGACTACCAATTGCGATTCAGTAAAATATTCTATAGACTTTTTGTAGTTGGAATTCTAAGACCATTTAATTTAAATTTCTATAGAAAATTGTGTTGGTTTAAATATAAAAAACCTATACACATTTTGTATATTTGTTATTGGAAGAAAAAATAGAAAATATTGCATAAATAAATTTTTTTTTGAAAAATGACTTTAAATATTAAATAATTAAAAGAATTATTCAGAAACTCAAACTCTTTAAAAAAACTTATTTAGACACAAACAAGCATTTAAACATAAAACTCTTTTAATGCTTTCTGATTAGAATTTTATCCACAATAATTTTTGACGTGCTTCCATACCATAGACAAAAAAACTTTGGAAACAAGTTGTACATGATCTCCAGTGGCGGATTAAGACTTCTTAGTGTCCGGGGCTATTTTAATTTTTGGAGGCCTTTTTATGGGGCAGAGCCTAAAAATGACTAGGGGTCCTCCCTGCCTACTCCCCCTTGATCCGGCACTGATGATCTCTAAACACTTTCTGAGTAAGAAGTAAAATCTTTGATGTATTTTGTTATCTGACTTTATCAAAAATATTTCAACTCATGTTCGAATGTCAAAGGTAATTTCTAATAATTCTGTTTATAGTTTGAACACTTGTTTTGTTATTTTGAATCTTAAATAACCTCTGCACAAATTTTAAAATATTAAAAAAACCTGAAGCAAAAAACCTCTGCATAAATTCCTGATGGTTTTCTTTTAGGCTCCAATGTCTAAAAGAAGTTTATAAAGTTAATCTAAAAAGTTATATTTGTTTAATTAACTTTTATTCATGAAAACTTAATACTTAATAATCTTATTTTAATTATCTTCTTTTATGTTTTACGCTAATAAAACACAGGTAATACGGTTTCATTGAAAGTTTCATTTTTGATTTTTTTGTTGCTATTTTCGGTTTACTTTACCAGCTAATTTATTTTACAGAAAGTATTAATAAATCTTTAATGACTAAAACGTATTAACTTATTTTAAAGTATAATATTTATTAATATGCAAATTTCTTTGTAACTTTCCAAACTTAAAATAAACAGAAAAAATGTAAATAAAGAATTTTTGAATATAATAAATAAAAATTAATAAGAAAATTTATTAAACATTTTAAAAATTCTCAACTAACACCAATAAACATTAAAAAAAAATTTTTTTTTTTTCAACTTTTGAATGAATGATCTTGTTAATATTAATGATGCTTGTTAATTACGACACGTTTTAACACACGGCAATTTACAAATAATTGGAATTCTTTCGTTAGGAATTAGCTTAGTTTTATCAGCGTATTATGTCCAAACAAAAGCTTTAAATGATGTTTTTTTTGCTTCAGGTTTTATTAGGTAGCAGGAAAAAATTCCCCGGCAAAAAATAATCTCGGAATAAAACCCCCCGAAATAATCCCCCGAGAAAAAATCCACCCGAGAAAAAAAAAACCCCGAAAAAAATCCCCCTGGGAAAAAAACCCCCCGAGAAAAAATTCCCCCGGGAAATATCCCTCCAAAAAAAGATAATTTTTTTTTACATAAAAATTATCAATAAAATAGTTATATTTATTTATCTTAAATAGTTTTATAAAATACTTCATTTTTCATCAAAATGTAAGGATATGCGCTGTTTCTCGGTTGCCGGTAAAAAATAATAATAAAAAAAACTCTCCAATTCCTAATATTCTATTTTAAAGCTTTATTTAAAATAAAATTTTTATTTTTTTAACTGTAAAACATGCGCGGAGTATTGCTACATCGACTATCTTATAGCATGACTCGCAACGGAGTGCTGCTACATCGACTGAGGGTTTGGGTTGGGCAGGCAGTCTATCAAATAAATAAAAAATATATATATATATATTTTCATATTGTTTTCGTCTTGTTTCACTTAATTTCCTTTTATTTCTTTTAAATATTTTTTTTCGCTTAAAAATCCTTTAAATATACTGCTAAATTAGCTACGATGGTTCGCAAAAAAGTTCACATATTACCAATTCGCAGTTCGTCAGGGTTAGGGTTAGGGTTAGGGTTTCACATTCGCTACCTTCGAGGAATAGCGCATAACTTGACATTTTGATGAAAAATGAAGTATTTTATATAAATCTATAAAATAAATAAAGAAATAAACATAACTGCATATAGATAACTTTTATGTAAAAAAAAAGTTTCTTTTTATGGGGGGATATTTTTCTGGGGGATTTTTTCTCGGGGGGATTTTTCCAGGGGATTTTTTCCCGGGGGATGTTTTCTCGGGGGATTATTTCGGGGGGATTTTTTCCGGGGGGATTTTTTCCTAGAACCGTTTTTTTATTAATTAAAGAAACTTCTCTTTTTTATATATAATTTTTAAAAACTCTTTGCTACCCGTAATAGAAAATCTAAAGAACACAATTTAGAACTAGGGTCAGTAGTAAATTAAAGCACTTTTTCAAAATTTTTTAACTATATTCATGTTAACGCTGATGAGCGGTATTGATCTAAAGACTCCAATCTTTAGATCAATACCGCTCATCAGCGTTAACATGAATTTAGTTAAAATCTTTTGAAAAAGCGCCTTAATTTACGACTGATCCTAATTCTAATCGGTTCTGACGTACATTAACTATAAATAGATGTCAAAACACAACACTTCTAATACTAGAATTCCGACCAAGTAAAAGCTTGTAATTATGAAAATTGCCAATAAACGAAATAATGTTCATTTCACCTAAAAAACGTACTTATTAAATATCTTATTAAAATTTGGAGAAGCAGTTGTGAATTTAAGAAGATTAAAAAAAAAAAAAAATCATTGGTCTGGGTTTTTTCGCTGTAAACATTTACATTTTATGACACCGCAAAATTTTTCATTCTAGCTTTTTTTTTGTCTTTTCATAATTCACAGACCTGATCATTTAACGGAAAAATGTCGCAGTCAACAAAATAACATACAGACGCTTTAATGTTTTAAATTTGCTGAGCATTAAAATAAATCGACAAATTTAATTTTCTCGTCATGCGAACTAATTGCGTTTTTACTTGTCTAGCGCAACACTTTAAATCTAAGACTGATTTAATTTTTACTATGACCTTATGACCCTTAAAAAATTTTCAACCAATTGGGAAAACCGCGGTGCCATCAGGCTAGCTAACACCCTATATATATATATATATATATATATATATATATATATATATATATATATATATATATATATATATATATATATATATATAT